TAGCTCCCCGACAGTCTTCCTCAGGCAAAAAAAAGAAGATTGACAATGAATGTTAACTCAGGACCAATCTTCCTCACAAAAAGAAAAGTATTATTCATATGTTTTCATTGAAACATGCATTTAAATGGACTACAAATCAACAGTTGTCTACTGAAGCTAGAGAAGTGGCTGTTATGGTGACTTTAGATACAAGTTTTTGGCACTTAGGATGATTATGTCTCTAGAGAAACTATACAGTCTAACAAACTAATGTATACCTATTCCTTGTGCATTTTACTTTCTATGAAATTTATGTTTATATATATCCATTATATCAAATCATGATGCTTGCTTATTGCTATTTCCTCAATCCTACTGAAAGGGGGTGATTTATATTTTCCTTAGAATACATTGTTTATATCCAGTGATCTTTTATTCAGTCACAAAAAAGTATTCATTTTGAAAGCTATGATTTCACATATTTTCACTAGAATTATATGTAATAAAGTTCCAGCCTATAGGGAACAATTTTTTTTAAATAGGCATATCAGGAGGAATAAAGAACAAATTTCAAATATCTAATATTGTGAACAGTATTATTTGCTGTTTATCAAATTTTGTATTTTGTTTATTATATTTTCATTTTTTTTTATATAAAAGAGTCCACAAGTATAACTAAATGTGTTTAAAAATGTTTGTATCCTTGTAGGTCTTTTCATATTCTTATATTAGTAAATTGGAAAAAGAAAGCATTTATTTGAACACAGTGGGATGAATGGCACGGTAGAAAGAACCTAGATTTTTGGAGTCAAATCTTTGGAGATGAGTTCAAACCCAGCTTCTGCCACTAACTAGCTGTGTGACTGTCATGACCTGATCTCTCCTAGATTGTTTCCACCTTCATAAGAAGGAATACAACACCAGCCTTGCAGGCCTGCTGTGAAGGATTTTTATCCACCAATCTCTTCAACATTTAAGCATTTCTGAATCCTACTAACATAAGTATTGAAATAAATAAACCTCTTCTTCATCTGGTTATGCTACAGTTCATCAATATCTAAAAAGTGTGGCCCCAGCATTAAATACAAATATGATAAGGTGTGAGACATAAAGCTCCTCAAGTCCTTAGTTATCCTTATCACCATGTGGCACTGACCAGCTGCTTCTGGGAGGCACCAGGAAGTGTGTGTTGGACGGGTGGACTCTGCGAACATAACTCGCTGCACAGTTGCAGTAAGACTAGTTATCTCCTGTGATCTGGTCACTAAAATTACTTACTGAAAACTGAATTGCAGCCATGAGGCTTCAGAAGAGGCTCACCTCCAGCATCGTTCGCTGTGCAAAAAGAAGGTCTGGTTGGACCCCAATGAGATCAATGAAATCGCCAATGCCAACTCTCATCGTTGAATCTGGAAGCTGATCAAACATGGGCTGATCATCAGGATGCCTGTGACTGTCCATTCCCTGGCTTGATGCTGGAAGAACATCTTGGCTCACAATAAGGGCAGGCATATGGGCATGCGCAAGCAAAAGGGTATGTAAGTGCTTGAATGCTGGAGGAGGTAACCCGGATGAGGATTCTGCAAATCTAAGAAGATTGACCACCACCCCGTGTATCACAGGCTATTCCCGAAGGTAAGGGGAATGTGCTCAAAAACAAGCAGATTCTCAGGGAACAATCCACTAGCTGAAGGCCAACAAGGCCAGTGAGAAGTTGTTGGCTGACCAGCCTGAGACCCACAGGTCTGAGATCAAGGAAGCCTGTAAGAGCCATGAGGAGAGGCTCCAGGCCAAGGAGGGGGACGTCTTCAGCACTGAGAACAAGAACTAAAGCCCCCTCTCTTGTCTGCACACAGTGGCCATGGCGATGGTACAGGCCAATCATTCAATGAAGCAAGGCTTCATCTGCCTGAGGGGAAAAAGAGTGAACTGCGTTTGTTTTTCTGTCAACTCTTTGGTCATAGTCAACATTTAGTCAACTAAAAATTGGTGCATGTGAAAAATTGTCTTCTTCATATGATCTACTGTTTAAAAAGATCTCCATCCTTCTGTTTATGGGTTATTGATTTATTGAACTGAAATATAGGATTTTAAACTCATCGTTAGTTACATTTCATCATGTTGCCTCAGCCAATTTGAATTAAACTGCTGAGTTGTGTTGGCCCTTGGTCTGTCGTTATGCGTGCTAATTATTCCTTCCAGATTTGTGACACTGTAAACTTGATTAAAGTGTAAAACTCTATTCATCCACATTGTTGACTTAGAAAAGATCAAAGGAAAAGTTGGTTTTTCCTGATATTTCTTTTACATTTTCATTCCTCCCATGTTTTTGTGTTTGCCCTTTAAATGTTTGACCATCTACTTTGTTCGTACTGAATGGGTATCTGTTGATGACCTAGTCTGGCTAGAGGATGGTGATACCAAGTCACGACGCAGTGAGTGCCTTCAAGGAGCTCATTAACTAGTAGAGACGGTGTACAGGTAAGCAAGCAGTTACAAAGGTGTGGAAGGAATTACTGTAACCAAGGAGCACGAAGGTGAGATACCTAACCCAGAATGTAAAAGTCAGAACTGTATTCTGGAGGATATGATGGCCACAGTAAGTCTGGAGGAAGAGACTGCAGGACACATGTGCAGGCACGTGGATTTCTGGAGATGCCTCCTCTCTCTTTCTCACCAGAATCACGTGTGACATTCCTAGCTTTTAAGGCTAGGAATTGAGCTATCTAGATAAATTACTTCGTTCTTTCACTCTTCCATCCATAAACATTTTTAAAGGACACATTCAGTGCCCAGTACTGTGTTAAATGCTGTGTTCTGTTTTAAAAACTCTTAAGATGGTATTCTCTGCCTTCTCCCTACTCCATAAATTTGGGGAACTTTTGAAACCTGTTTTTCCAGAGTGAAAGTACTCATCTGGTTCTGCCCATTGTTTCTTCCTTGACAACCAACAACTTTAAACCTTCAGGTTCCTTTTTACTTTCAAATTATTCAGATCAATATACTTTACTGGGTGCTTTCTATGGGCAAGGCCCTGTGTTAAATGCTCTGGGAGATATAATGATGACTAAGGCTTAGGCCCCTTCCTCATGAAGCTTTAAACTAACAGGGGAAATGTGCACAGAGAACGTGACAAAGAGAATAATACATGCTCTACTAAAGTATTTTATTTTTAAAGATAAGAATTTCTTGGTTAGAGAAAGACAAATACTGGATGATCTCACTTATATGTGGAATCTAAAAAAGAAAAAAAAAAAACCTGATAGAAAAAGAAATCAGACTTGTGGTGACCAGAGGAAGGGGGGTGGGGGTAATTGGGGAAGATGGTGAAAAGGTAGCCTTCCAGTTACAGATGAATAAGTGCTGGGGATCTGATGGGCAACATGATGACCATGGCTAACGCTGCTGTGGGATGTTGAGGACAGTTGTTAAGAGAGCTAATCCTAAGAGTTTGCATCACAAGGAGAAAATTTTTTTTCTTTATTTTTTATTCTTTCTTTTCTTTTTATTGTATTTCTATGAGATGACGGAAGCTAGCTGAACCTATTGTGATCATTTCACCATACATGTAAATCAAACCATCGTGCTGCTGCACGCCTTAAAGTTATACAATGATGTATGTCAATTATTTCTCAACAAAACTGCAAAAAACAAACAAAAAGAATTTCTTGGTTAGAATTAAGTCCCAAAGAGAACCCCTCATTTCTTCCTTAATCATTAGAGAGACGAGGAGGTGAAATAACATGTAAGGACAGAAAGTTCAGATTAGGCTAAAAATATTTTTAAGAGGGGTTGTATAATTTAAAAAAAAAAAAAAAAGGTGTCTTTGTGTTTCCAGCACATTCCAGGGGAGAGGGTGCATGGATGTTACATAGCCAGTCTGATCACATCCCATAATTCAAAAGTCAGTTCATTGGGTTACCAAAATTTAACAGTGGACCAAATCATAATAATGGATCATCCATTGTTATCCATCATAATAAGATCAAATTAGATTTAAAAATGTGTTGGAACTAAAGCGTTACCCATGGGCTTTCACTTTCTACATTACGTATTTCTTTAATTTGGGGATACTTTATAATGATCATGCATTACATTTGTAATTCGAAAACAACAGTATGTTCATAAATAAGTATGTGGAGCTTCCCTTGGGGAAAGGCATTGTACTAATTCTCTAGAAAGATGTCTGTTAGGTACCTTTTTCAAAATGAAAATATATGACTGTACATATATATTATTATAAAAGTTTGAAAAATATGGAAAATAGAAAAAAGAAAAAAATCCCCTGTTAAGCTCCCACACTAACACGGTTACTGATGCTGATGGTGCGTTTCCTTCCTCTCCTTTTTCTATATGTTGGTGAGGTTGTTTTTAAGTGATTAGATAGCAGTATTTCTTAGTAATATGTAACCCACAAGAACAGGAACATTTTCTTCATATGTATCCAGTTCTGTGTTTTGGCCAAGAGGGATGATAGAATCATGGAATATTTACATGAAAAGATCTTATAGATCATCCAGAAATATCCAAACTCATATTATCCCCCACTAAATAAAATCTTTATCTTCTAGATTTACTATCTTGTAGATGGGGTCATATTAACAGTAATAATCCAGACTTTGTGGGCACTTGTCCCCACCTGCTCATATAGGACCCTAATCTTCTCAAAAGTTCCCCAAATTCCTCTGGGAGTGCAGGTAACATTTTACACATCCTATAAGTAAAACCAATGAACTATCTCATCCGTTAACTATCTCGTCAGCTACCATTTTCTTTCCTCTCCCGGCTCTAACTTTCACCGGCTAGATATCGTGAAGGGCCCAGCACCGCCTCCCCAGGATGCTGCCGTGGAGGTCCGGGGAGCTCTGCCGGGCCAGGCCATGCAGGGGTGCATGAGAAGCGGCGGCGGCCCATTCTCCTTTCCTAGCAGAGGGTTCCCCAAGTGCCATTGTGCCCCATGTCTTGCAGAATTTTTACTGAGATGGCTCTTTAGGAACGTACTTAAACCCATGCTACCCAAAATGTGGTCCATGAACCAGCAGCATTTGGCGGAATCATTAGAAAGGCAGAACCTCAGGCCCCGTGAAGGAGAGTCTGCATCTGAACCAGAGCCCCAGGAGATTCACATGCAGATTACGGTTTGAGAAGCACGGACTCAAACGCCCACTTGGGACTAAGGCGTGAATTCAACTGAGGACAAGAGCAGTTTTGAGTCAGGAAACAAAAGTGACAAATAACAGGACTTTTCATAATGATCCCTTCCCTTTGATGATCTTATCTTTGTGACTGAGCCAAACTTGGGATCCTGGGCTCCTTCTCTTGGGATGAGCTCTCCCTCAGGAAGCGCCCTCACTCCTTGCTTCCTCGTCGAGATAGACTTTGGTGACCTGCCAGTTCCACTTCAGTCAACCAGACGTGGCTTGTGTTCAAAGTAAGAATACACCAGACTTATGGGGAAGTCTTACCGGGCTGCTCACATAAAATACATTTTTACTTAATAGATGCTGATTCAGCACCTATTATTTACAAAACACTGGATTATGGGCTGTGGGAACACCAAAATAAGTACAATAATCTCTACCCCAGAGGAGGGTAAGTAAAGAAGGAGGATGCTGGGCCAGGTAGAGACTTTCCAGACACAATTTGAGGAAGGAGCCAAAGGTTCCCGACTGGAGCAGTCTCACTGTATTTTGGAGGAACCACTGCTACATCTGGTCCCTGCAGCCTGGGTGTGCCTATTTTCCAGGTAGAAGGCTCTCCTCCATATCCGTTTCTCTGCATTCTTACCCACCTTCCAAGGCCAATTTATCAATGAAGTCTGCCCTGACGCCCTCAGCTAAACATACTTTTTGACCTTTCAGAACTCCCATCGTGTCCTGTCTTAAGAGCCGTTATATGTGTTGAGGCCTATGGGGTGGGGGATATGTCCTTTACCAGGGAAAGAATGTGTTTTAGTGACTCTGCTTAGATTCCCCATAGGACCTAGCATGAGGTACCATAAAGAGTTACGGAAGAACGAGAACAAGGAAAGGTAGTACATCTACTCTGTTAACACTTCCCTATTCCGGAAATATATCAGCCTTCTCAAATCACAGTCAGAGAGAACGTGAGAGAGAAGATGGAACACAGCCTGGATAATTAGGAGGATTGGCATTTTTTTCAGCTTTTTCTCTGGTCAGATTGGTTCTTTCATGCAGAAACAATGTCCTCATTGGCAGATTAGTAGCTGTTAATCTCAGCTGGATGGAATTTCATCTTGTCTTCAGCTGGATGGAAGTGAGCTGGCCATATGCCCACTAGTATTTAAGAAGTCCCTGACTTCAGTGGGTAGCCCTTTTATGCCTGATTTTTCTTGAAGCTGAGATGGCAGCCCAGGTCTGCAGCCTTCTCTCTGAAGAATGTAGGGTCGCTATTAATCATATAGTATCTTATGAGCTGCATGTCAGTGATGCTTATTTATCTATGGTCAGTATGGGTTCCTGAGCCACTGTGGGGGATCTGGGTGATGCTGTATCTTCTATGTCCTTAGTAACGGAGGTTATGGCCATGTTTGTGGTTTGAGACGAGGTGAAACAGCAACTTAGAGGCCAGGATTTTGCTGCTCTGTGGCTCAATGATTTAGAGCTGTGATTGTAACCTATGGGCTATGATAGGGAGAATCACAGCTCTTGCTCGTGAGTTCCCAAAACTATATGGGCATCAAACACTGATGGCAGACTGAATAAGTAATTTTGCATCCATATGCTATTTTAGAGTTAATGTAGATGTTAGGATTGATGAAATAGATTGACTTTAAAATGTCACAATTTATGCTGGGCTTCTGCCAGGTGTCTCCATAATTACTGGACATAAGAGCTAGCACGTGAGGTTCACAAATCTGGCCCTTAAAGAGGCCATAATAGCTGGAGATTAGGCGCCAGTGTGTTAGAACCTGGGCAGCTTCTCTGGGGTAACCCGGGTTCAAGAAGACAGCAGGGCCTTCTGGAAGTCAAAGGACAACCTAAGGACCCAAGACTGAACAAAGAAGTCCTCTTTAGGACAACCACAGTGACAACAGAGTGAGTTTCTATGAGATTTCCAGTCACGAAAATCAGCTTTTCTCACTCCAGTCCCCCCATTCTCACCCCGTTCCAGGCCTGTTATTACGATGGAGAGACCAAAGAACCTCCTTTTGCCACATTCTTCGAGGACCAGGCTGAGGTGAAGAGGGCACACGCAAGGCAGTTCCTAAAATATCTAAGGAAACATGAGAGTAAAATCTGCCTTCCCGTGATCCAGGTGACTATGGAACTTTACGGTGACCTCCACGGGGACTTCGCTGGGTCTAGAGAGCTGAATTATTAGTTGCTACCTAACTTGTTAGGTTACTCATGTTCCTACAGGGGATTATAGCAACTGACTTTGAGGCCAAGCTTGTGTCTTCTTTGTAGCCTCCTCATCTCATTTTGAGTAAATCTTAGCCACTAAGTGCCTGTTTGGCTTCTCTCAATGAGCCACACAAAGTGTGGTCTCTGGACCAGCAAAACTAGCATCACCTGAGAACTCGTTAGAAACACAAATTCATGGACCCCACCCAGACTAACTGAATCTGATTCTCCAGGGGTGGGGCCCCGGGAGCTGTCCCTTCACAAGCTCTCCAGATGATTCCAATGCTCTGCAGACTTTGAGAAGCACTGCTCTAATGGCCTCTTCCCAGAGCTGTGAGCATCCTTATACCAGAGCTTTGGTCTAATTCGGAGCACGTCCAGGTATTTAATATGGCTGTCTCTTCAATGCAGTAAAACTCTTTTGCTGGGATAGACACTCCAAAAGAGCAATCTGAACCTTAGTTGGGGGTATTACATCTAGCAACATCCCTACTTATCTGAGAGGTTCTTTTAACTCCAGCTTTATAAAGAGAAACTGAACGTCTAGTTGTAACAGAACTGAACGATGACCGTGAAATTCCAAATCTAATAGAATAGTGCATACAACTGTGCTAGTGTACCCATGCTTTGTGGCACATTAAAGTCATCTGGGGAGCATTTAAAAATCCTGATGCTGAGCTTGCATCTGTGCCAATTAGGTCAGAATGTCTGCAGTTGAAAGCCAGACAGTATTTTTAAGACTCTCCACTGATTCCATTGTGCCACAAAGCTTGGAAACTATTGGCCTCTGCAAACCTAATCATAATCCTACACAGAAAACAGGAAGAAATAAAACTGTGCCTGAGGTGGGAAAGTGACTCTCCTGTTCCTCTCCAACAGAGGCCTGATATAGACAACTGGGGAACTGGACTCCAAGCTCTGGAGTCTGCTCTGGAGTTGGAGAACACATTAAACAAGCTCCTGCAAGACCTGAAGACCTTGGCTTCTGAGAATCATGAAACTGATGTAAGTAGTTCACTGGTTCTGAAAGCAGGGTCATCTTCCACTTCTGGATTATGACTTGCTTCTGAGAAATGGGTCCAAGGCATTAGATCATCTACCAGGTGCTTGATTCCACGACCCACCCCCCCCCACCGCCATGAAGTGTATGAACTTATTTCTGGGAGAAGGTTAGAGGTGGGAGGAGTAGGTGCCCTGGTAAGGAGGAACGTAACTCAACACAAGGTAGAGAAGACTTTCCAGGAATAGTGCACTCTGGATAATCAAATAACTTCTGTTGGTGGCTTGTAAATCTCCTAGACCAGAAGTGCTCACATTTTCACGGGCAGCAGAATCACCTGGAGGGCTTACTGAAACAACCTGCTGGGCCCCGCCCCCAGTCTGAGTTCTAACTCAATTGGTTTGATGTGGTGGCCGAGAATTTGCATTTCTAACAAGCTCACAGGTAATGATGCTGCCAGCCAGGGGTTACACTTTGAGAACCACAGTCCTAGACTGTCCCTGCAAAAGTGAGTGTTACCGGTGACGTAGTATCCTATAGAATTCTCTGAAGTCTTCCTGGTTAATGGCGAACACTCTCCCTTGCAGTGGTAACTTCTTTCTCACCAACTCCCTTGCTTCTCAGAAAGTCAAAGTGAAGAAAATGCCCTAGTACAAAAGTTATCAACTGTAGATGCGTATTGGACTCATTGAGGAGCTCTGAAGAGGTATAGATGCCTGAGCATTATGCCAGAGCACTTCAATCTAAGTTTTTGGGAATGGGGTCTGGGCGCCTACTCAACCTCCATGTGATTCAAATCAACAGGGTGGAAACCATTGCAGTAGTAGCTTATTACTTAAATTATGTACTTTTGATGAGATGCCCTAATGCTCATACTCACTGAAAGTGGATATTTGTATTCACCTGGAGTCTTGAATCAGTGCTCCTTGAACTTCAGTATGCATATGAATCGCCCAGGCCCTTCTTAAAATGCAGATCCTGATTTAGTAAGTCTGCTGCAGGACTTGAGAGTCTGTGTTTCTGACAAGCTCCCAGGACTGCTGGTTCGTGGGCCATAATTTGGGTAGCGAGATCTTAGATTGCCTCCTGTGGCAGACAAGATCCTTAATGAGCCCTTCCCTGTTTTATTTCTGTAGCTCTCACGCTTCCTGGGAAAGTTTCTGGATAAACAAAAGAGAAACATACGCTATCTGGAAAACCAGGTTGGCTATCAGAAGGAATTAGAAAAGCTGGCCCAGAAGGAAAATCCATCTGAAAAGACTCCTGAAGCCTCGGCCAAAGAGGCTTAATGCCTGAGGACAGCACAGGGGTCTTCCTGTGGTAGTACGACCCAACGTCAGCTACTTAAGAATCTTCTCTTCTCCGTCTGACAGAAGATGGCCTGCCTTTTCGTCTAGTATCCTAATCATTGTTTTGCATACAAATAAAGCTGTTTTGCATTATAATTATGTGTAAAGAGATTGCTGTTGGAGCACCAGGAGGGTTAGCTCCATCAATGTAAGTTTGGTGAAAGCTTCCTGAGGCACGGTGGGTGTGTCAGACTTTAAAAACCAAAAAGCCTTCTCCCACAGTCCCAGCCACGCCCAGATGCAGAGTCAGGATTTGGTAGGTTCAGTCCATGTGGATATAGTAGAAATTAAGTAGTAAACCTTAGGTCTCACTAATACACCCCTCCCCTACAACTCATGCACATATTTTAAGTTTACAAAATAGTAGGGTTTTATTCCGATTAAATGCAAAGATAAACTTGAAAATGAAAGCTCTCGGTCTAGAAAGTGTGACTTCCACCTGAAAGAGATACAGTGGACAGGCAGCTGCAACCCAGATGCCCTTTCATCAGCCTAGGGAGCAGGAGGACACAGACAACCAAGAGGCTGCAGACAAGCATGTGGACGCCCCTACCCCTCCATCGTGGGCCAACCAGCAGCTATTGGGGTAGTTGTTTTCCAGAGCAAACAATGAGCATGCAAACTTGGGTCAGACCCCAGGGCCTCGTGTGGGCAGTACCGCCTGGGAAGATCAGATGCTCTGTAGGGTTGTGTCCTGGATCCAAAACTTACCAGCTCCATGGCCTGGAAGTTTTGACCTCACTCAGTGACTCAGTTTAGTCATGGGTAAAGTGGAGTTAATAGTACTTAGTTCATAAGGTTAACAAGAGGACAAAGTAAATATATACAGTATGTGGAGCAGCACCTGCTCAGACTCTGTGTTCTGTTAGTTTGTGTAACAGAGCCACCTCCCAAACTTGAGGAAAGCCAATACATAACAGAAGCACCTACAATAAGAAAACAGACCACTGAAACTGAGACCATCGTAAAACTTTTAATTTTACACAGAACAGAGGATGTTTTTTGAAACAAGAGAAAGTGGTCATAAGAAGGAATCAGGTATCTTGGAAAAAATTCAGGTTAGCAAATGGGCTAAATATTTAAACACAGCTAGTCAAACAAGTGATCTAGAAGTGGCTAAGAAATTCTCAGGCAAAGGAATAAAGAAACGGTATTTAAAATGTTAAGACATGGAGTTCCAATGAGAGATCTACCTAGAGCTCCAGGAGGAGAGAGAAATTGAGAAAGAACCATTGCGAAATTTTAGAGCATCAAGGATGAAACAGCTCCCCATGAAAGACATCACTTAGAAAGAATGAAAACTGACATTAACAGATTTCTCGTTAATTTTAGATGAAAGAGAAAATGGAAAAAACATCTTCAGAAAGCTGAGGGGAAAAATTAATAACAGTTATAGCAAAATAGACCTATTCAGACATACGTTAAGCTCACAGAAGACTACAACCCAAAGAAGACCTTCTCTGGGAACAATGTCATTGTTTTAATAGCAAAATATAAGGGCACAGTCTTCTCTATGCAGGTCCAATGGAGCCTGGCTGACGCTAACTAACCTTGTGCAGCACTTTAAGTAACTGTAGTGAGGAGGGGCATGCCCCAGTCAGCCACATAGTTGACTTCTTTACCTACCTCTTCATGCCTTTTCTACAACTCATCCTTCTTGAGAATCACTGTCATGGTGAGCTTGTCACCACTGGAGAATTAACTGGTTAAGAAAACATGCTTGAATAAATTCCCACTTCATAATTGCTAATTTATATCCAATTTTATACTTATTAATATGTTAGACTTTCACATTAAAGTGAGGCGTAAAACAAGCTTGCTTTCTCCTCAGCACTGCTCAGTGCTTCTCTGGAAGTCCTCAAGCAGGGTTTCTCAACCTCAGCACCATTGACGTTTTGAGCCAGACGACTCTTTGTTGTGGGGAGTTGTCCTATGCGTTGTAAGATGTCTAGCAGCATCCTTGGCTTCTACCTACTAGATAGTACCTCCTCCAGTTATGACAATCAAAACGGATTCCAGAAATTGCTAAATGTCTCTTGGGAGGCAAAATCACCCAGCTTGAGAACCACTGTTCTGGATAGTACAATAAAAAAGCAGAAGGAAAAGAAGATATATATGTTTGAAAAAGACTTAATCAATGTGATATGATTATAACTAGACCTGATGAACTATTATAACTTACAAGAAAGTTCAATAATGTTGCAGGATACAGAATAAACATCTACAAATCAATCTTTCCTAGGTAGTATCAATAAACAGAGAAAACTTTTTAAAAAGATATCTTGTTTATAATACCCATAAATACATAAAACATCTAGGAATAATCCTAACAACACTAGCTTGGAACCTATATGAAATAAAATATAAATGCTTCCTGAGACAAAAGCTTTGAGTAACGGAAGGAGGAGAGAAAGACCAAATAGGAAAATTGTGACACCTCCCAAATCAATGTATAAGCAATTTTGGTCATAATCCCAATAGGATTTTGAGGGTTTGGACAATTTAGTATTAAAGAATAAGCTTCAATCATGGGGGGGGCGTGGGAAATGGGAACATACAGAAAACTTGCTTGACATCATTAGTCATTGGGAAACACAAACCAAAACCACGTTGGGATACCACTCACTACATACTCGTCAGAATGGCTAAATTTACAATGACTGTCAACACCATATGCTGGCAAGTTGGCGAAACAACTGAAGCTCTCATACACTGTTGGTGGGAACGTAAAGTGGTGCAACCATTCTGGAAAAGGAGATGGCATTTTCCTGTAAAACTAAGCATGTACCTACCTCATGAATTTTGGGAGGACACAATTTAGCCCATAACAAATGATGATATTGTTAACTAAAATTGGGTAGGGAAAGCTATGGAGAAAAGAGAGGAGGAAGGAGCTACAAGCTAATTCACTTGATGCTTACAGTAGGAATCAATAGATACCGTCTGAAGAAAGGAGGTCCTGAGGGTGTTATATAAAAGTCTAATTATAAAGACAAACACTAGAATAAAAAATATCACAGAACTGTAATTTTTAAAATAACAGCCTTCATAATGAAAGTTTATGTAAATACAACGTTCATATTTACACTTTATTTGGTGACCCTTACGTTCTTGTTTTAGTCCTAGTTCTATTGTTAAATATGTTCAATGTTCACCCCCAGTCCTTTTGCTGAGGTCTCCCTGATCGTCTTTTGGGTGGGTGAATTTTATTCTCTAGGAGATGCTTCAGTAAGGTGTAACGAGGACAGTATTCCCTGAGTCGGCTCAAACTTGCTTTCCTTAAGTGTCTGACCGGTATTGTTCCATTTCTGTTCGAACTGATTGAGTTGCACTAACTTGGTTTTCTTTCCCTTAGAAATGACACAATGTTCTTGCCCAGATGCCCAAAGTTTGCTACTAGTGTTAGTAGGATAGGTCTAGAGTTGCTGGGATATGTGTTTGTAGGATATGTCTCAGTATTGATCATTCTGGGACAGTTTTCTCATGTCTTGAACGTGTCTTTTAACATACAAATTCAAGTCTTATTTCAGAACATTTTCTAATGTTTGCTTAACTCCACTCTTTCGGTATTTCTCCAACTGGAAGAACTCCCATTATTTATATTTTGGATCACTTTTGCCTATCTTTTAGAACTTTCATTGTCTCTCTCCTTTTAAAAAAATCTTTCTGCTTATTTCTCTTTCACTTTCCTCACTTTTCCCATGTGTATACTCTGTGTCCTGTCGTGCCTTCTGTAGTATTCATTTCCCCTTTTGCTCTTCATAATTTAGTCTTTATTTATGAAATGATTCTTTCTGTTTCTTCTATTTCTGTCCTGAATTTTACTCGTTACCATTTCACATGCTCCTTTTGACGGACCATCACCTTCCCTTTGTTGGCCGTGTCTTCCCCGAGTTCTCCTAGTTATTATTTTATTGTCTTCCTTTCTGAGTGCAATTGCTTTCCGATTTTCCCTCCTTTATTCATGTTGGGATGCTGTGTTACCGTTCTCCTCTGCTCCGGGGCAGTATTGTTCTAGCGAGTGTTCTTAGTCTGCGGGGAAGTTTTGAATCTATTTTCAGTTCTTTTTTTTTTTGCCCTTTTGTTTAGCTTTCTTGGATGTTGTAGGTGCAGAATTACTTTGCTGGTCACATTAGAACGAGCAGGATTTTTCTCAGTTAGAAGGAGGACATTTTGAAGTGAGGGAGGGGCCAGCTTTCCCAGTTTCTCAGCTCGAGAGCTCCGTCTTCAACTGCTGTAATAAATGCCGCTTCTGGCACCAAGCCGCCCCTCAATTTCAGATCTTAACTTGGTTCACAGGGCTCCTGCATCAGCTCCTAAGTCCCGTTTCCTATACCCCCTCTCTTTTAGAACGACTATTTTCTTCAACCTGCCACCTCTATGTTACTCCTCACCCAAGCGCATTCTAAACCTTCTGCCTCCAACTCTCCCATCGCACACTGCCCTCTTTGATCACAGCAGTTCTCACTGATGAGGGGGCCCCATGCTTTGGGGAGTGAATATTTACTATCGATTTCTGACAACTGTCACTTCTAGGACTCTTCTGGGCATCCTTTTCTTCTCAGAAACACCTACAGCACTGCTGTGGCTTCATGAACTAAAACTGCTCACTTCAGATGCCAAAAACAGTTAACATCCAGGATACACAAAGGAAGAGAGGGGAGGAGAGGGAGCCCAGTACTGGTAGATATCATAAAGCACACACACTAAAATGTTTGTTTCCTAAATTATCTCTGAGTAATGAGCAATATCTCTGGATGCAGAAACCATATCCTTTGTCTGCTAACGAGGGTTCAGGAATAGGACTGGGCTGGAACCATTAGGTCCATAAATGCAAAAAGGCAAGACTTCACAAAGAATCATGAAGACACTAGATTAGAGGAAGCCAGTTGGTTTTGTAACTACAGAAAGGAGAGATACTGTATTAGAAAAACATCAAA